TACCATAACCTGGCATCATTCCGGGCATCATTCCCATTCCAGGCACCATTCCAGGCATCATCATTGGCGACATCATCGGCGATCCCATAGGCATTCCCCAGCCTGGCACGGGAGAGGATGCTCCCCCTCGTGGATTAGGGCTATCATCACCGTGGTCGGATCCCGCCTGTGATCCTGCCTGCGAGAAGCTGATCATGGCCTGTTGATACGCTTGCATCGCAGCCTGCTGAGCAGCCATCATCTGATATTGTTGTTGTTGCTGCTGTTGCTGCTGTTGCGGGGACATTCCTCCTCCCCAGCCCATGCCGCCCATGCCACCCATTCCCATAGGTCCCATTCCGTACATCATCGGCATACCCCAACCCATCATCGGGTTCATCATCATCGGGTTATATCCCTGCATATCCATGTTGCCGGACATTCTGTCCAACTGAGCGCGCTGCAGCTCATCGAATTTTCGTTGACGGTCTTCAGCTTCACGCTTGTCACGTTCTCGTTGAGTCAATGTAGCACCCATGCCACCTTCACGCTCTCTATCTCTTTGGTGGGCTGTGATAGCACCGACAAGTCCCATCTGGGGCGGTGGCGGAGGTCCTGGAACAGTGACCAAAGATACTCCAGTCTCACGGGCAGTGGCCTCTTGCTGCTTGGCAGAGCGGTTTTGCTTATCCAGCATACCTGCTTGAAGGAGACCTTGAGGAGCGAATGCTTTTGTCATAGTCTCGTTCGCATCAAGCGTCACAAAGGTGTCCCTGGGAGCGGACGTTGTCGCCGGAGCTTCACCCTTTGGATCGAGCATGGTACTCCACATTGCGCGGTTCGGGACTGTTTGAGCTTGAGGACCAGGTCGTGCAGAGGTTTCTGCCGGACCACGATAACCGAATTCGTCGGGAGTTTCATAGGGTCGTCGTGCTTGAGAGTGTGGGTCCAAAGACGAAGGTCTCGAGTAGCTCTGGAAGTGTTGATGATGATCTTGGCTGCGAGCTTGATCAGGAGTTCGCAAATCAGGGCTCCTTCCTGACGGTCCTGATCGACCTGGAATAGCCGGTAATCGTCGAGAGGGTCCTGGGCGATTGTCATGTCCCGATTGATTGGTTACGCGAGTCAATTCTGAGACGGTGGCTTGGTGGTTTGAATGGGTTGGCTGCGGTGAGACAATGCCAATAGGGCTAGCTCGTCCCTGACCTAGGTTGGAACGAACTGGTTTTTCCTCTTCTTCTTCCTCATCGTCTTTCTCGTCATCATCCTCTTCGTCACTGCTGACCCATGCAGTTCGGTCCTTGGTGTTGCTCTTAGCTTTTGACCTTCCAGGCTTTGAGCGGGCCTCGTACAGAGCAGCTTGATTGGCCTCGGCATTCAGTTTTCGCTCAATTGACCTCGTATTGGGGGCAAACGATGATCGTGGAGCCATTCGATGTGCGCTATCAGAGCTACTAGGTGATGCTGAAG